CCGATACTCATCGACTACACCACCACACCCCCCCAGACATCGACATGGCATCGTCCGGTCACACCAACGTACCTATACGTGGGAATGGATCGTCCTTATCGCCATCCTGCCCTCGCTTGATGTGTGGGGGGAGAACAATTCAAACCGATACTCATCAACTACACCACCACACCCCCCCAGACATCGACATGGCATCGTCCGGTCACACCAACGTACCTATACGTGGGAATGGATCGTCCCACTCGCAATCCAACAGGGGTGTTGTTTTTAAAAAAAGGGCACGATTTATACAGCGAGAAACGACGGTGGGGGGGATACATCGTTACTAATTACTACTGTGACGACGACGATGACGACACGCGACAGAAACTACTTCATGTACAAACTACCAGAGTAAAGGTGAAAAGCTTCCTTTGCCAGGACCATTGCATACTTCCAAGTGCGCCAAACCTACGCGCACACACATGGGAACTGACACACGTTGCATCGAACTACTACAAGTCATTATTCGAAAATAATATATATGTATATATATACATTTGCGATACTATACCATCGTCTATATAAACATGCTTTGCCACCGACCGCGACACGGACAACTTTCGATGACTCGCGCGAGAAGTGGATTTGTATGAAGACATGGCTGAGGAGGAGAGAGAAAACTGCTAGAAACTATCACAATTATTAAATAGAAACTGTTCGCCTCCACGGCAGCTTTGCTATTCGCATTCCCGAGCAAAATTATCGCATGTTGTCCATCCCGCCCACCAGAGTGAGTCTGGCGCCACCTGCTGGTGTTAGGTCACGTGATGCCACCTGCCGACGCGAGGTAACGTGCTGGCATGAAGTCATGTGGCGCCACCTGCCAGCGTAAGTTCGCACAGCACCACCTTCCGGCGCAAGGTCGCATGGCGCCACCTACCGGCGTGAGCCCACGTGGTGCCACCTGCCGGCGAGAGCTCGCATGGCGCCACCTGCCCCGGGCGCTCTCACTTGTGTTCAAGTCTCTCTCTGAAGGCCTTGATCTTCTGTACGAAGAACGACTCGAGCACCTCAGCGCACCGATAGAACGGGGAGTCGCTCGGATTGTAGTATCGACAGTTGTCAAAGATCTTTGTCATATCTCCGATGAAGTCGCTGAGCTTCGTGTAGCGTCGCTTAGTCAGCTTCCGCTCCATCGTGGACAGGTCTGCAACACATAGCATTGACACGTACAACACACAGTCACCCACTAATCGGGGGTAGCTCTTAGTTAGGTAGCTCAGGTTTACACATTGTACAACACACACACACACAGACAACACACAGTCACCCACTAATCGGGGGTAGCTCTTAGTTAGGTAGCTCAGGTTTACACATTTTACAACACACACACACACAGACTAGTCGCCCACTAATCGGGGGTAGCTCTTAGTTAGGTAGCTCAGGTTTACACATTGTACAACACACGCACGCACAGACTAGTCGCCCACTAATCGGGGGTAGCTCTTAGTTAGGTAGCTCAGGTTTACACATTTTACCTCAATTTCACTACGCGTTGTCTATAAAGGTATTTGAAAATACCTCCAATGTTGTTCAAATTCTCCGATGTTGTTGACACTTTCGCATTGCTCTGCCAAGCAACCATACAGCGCGGAGTGTAGCAAAGATTTCTAGCGGCCCGTGTGCGTTTTTTGCAGCACGCTGCTAGCGCAATGACATGTATCGTTCGCGATATCAAGCCTAAAATCAATAGGTTATATCTCAGAGTTTATTACGCTGCCTGTTATTACTTTCCAATAGCATTGATGTTACATACACTGCAGTTCACAATACTACAACTATCTTAAAATGTAAACGACTATATTCTCTGCTCAACACCCGTAAGCAACATGTGACGTCACCTAACCGATTTGGGGCGAAAATTGCTTGCAAACAATTCGGCGTTGACGGCCAGATTACCAGATTTCGCACCTCTTTCTTGTGGGTTTTAAGCAAACGCGCAATGAAATGGGAGGAACTAGAGTTAATTTTGTCCATAAGGTGTATGAGGATTATGCATGTCACGAAGTATTTGCTAGTCTAGCTACTGGAGAAATTAGCGTCCACCAACCGACGAACCTAATTACACCTGCTGATGTCTGACCTTCACACAAACACGACGCCTCGCTTGAGTCAAGCTTCTTCCCTGTGGCTCGGGGGCCAGCCGCCGCGTGCACCGTGGCTGTAAAAGCGATCGTTCAGTGAGAGGGCACTAGCGGCGGGGCGGACGGCGCCGATGTCATACAGGTAGTGCGGATTCGACCTCTGGATCTCTGCTACCTCCTGCTGCACTGACAGACGCTTCGGCTTCTGTTTCCGCCGGCGGCGCGCGCTTCGGCGCGGCGACGCCCGCCGCGCTGCGGTCGCCGCGGGTTTGGGATGCTGACGGTCAGCAAGCTTCCTTTCCCTGTCGTCTGCTGCTGCTTTGCCGAACGCGCGGTTACGCGCGACATGCTCGGACGCGGTGACGCCTCCGCCGAGGTTCACGCCCCGCTGCGCGTTCACTTGTTGTTGTCGGGCGTTGCGCAGGCGGTTCAGCTTGTTCTGCACGGTCACCTGCAGCTTGCCATCCAAGGCATTCTGCCTGGAAACCAACGGGATTTCATTGTGAGTACAATCAACAATCAACGCCTACGTGAGATCAGCTAAAAAAGGTTAACTACCTGGCTTACCCAAGCTAGGTCACACCCGGGCTGGACTAAAGCGTATGGGGGCCGGGGCACGCAATTGTGGGGGGCCCTATTAGTCTGTATTTTTTCTGCACTTTCATGCTTGCAAATTCAGAGAGTATTTCATCGTGTTTCAAACGAATTTAAAATGTACTTTCGATAGCGAGAATACTGAGTTTAACCAGTTCTCTGTTGGTCATCGTGGGTTCTCATTGTGATTTTTAAATCAACTTTGAGGTTTTGAAAATACCTTTCACCGCTACAATGTCATGAAACATCAACTGAAGATAGATTCTGCAGCAGCAATTCTCGTATTAGGGAAAGTGCCTTCAGCTGAAGAAAATTCAGTCCAGAAAACAGCATGGGAAGACGCCATCACTTCAACGTTTACATGCTAAGAATTTTGTGGATCACAATTACGACAGTTTGCTAAATTTTAGGATACTCTAATGTGGGGGGGCCCCAAATGTTGGGGGCCCGCGGGCACGTGGCCCCTGTTGCCCCCCCTTAAAATCGCTGTGGTCACACCCCATGGCTAGCTATAGCCCTGAACGTTTATCTCTTACGGACTGTCCAGTATAGAAGTAGAAGTAGAAGCTACCGAGTGTCCACGATGACGATGATGGTTCGTGCTTGCATGTTAGAGCATAAATGTTGATGTGATTCGAGCAATTAACGAACCACCACATTAACTTACAGAAATGTTTTAAGACTAGCAGACAATTCATTGTTGGTTATTAGTGTTGTGATAATACTTTTCAGCAACCTGGACACAAGCATGACAATATACTATATTATATAAGTATATACTTTTTTAAGGTCAAGAAATCTTACATTGTTTATTATGTGATGCTTTCAATTACTTAAAACCGCCGTACCTTGTGCCTTGTGTCATCTTTCTAGTTGTATGAGCTGTCGGTCTAGTTCCTTGCAAAGCATAACTCTTATTACTTGTGTACTTTGACTGATGTTATACATGGCTACTGTAGGTTCGGTTCTTTGCCCACTCGATTATATTGTGACCTGAAAACAAAATAAAACGTACCCGAAATCACATAACCATACTCATAAGTCAACAAGAGTAATATGCGCTAAAACTTAATAAATTACACAATTAATTTACAACTATCATATATCTATGAATGGGTAAACACTATTCTGTAATTGTTATTTATATTGAGCCTGAAGTTGAACTTGTTATTTACGTTTTGCTGGCGTAGCCGGGTAGATTGATGCCATACGCTCCAGTTCCACTTCCAGTCACGGATCCATTCTGAATCTTTGACCCTTTTGCTTTGCTTGCCTCTTTTGTTTCATTTAATAATATCGTCTAATCCATATCAATCTTCTCCATGATTAAATACGCGTAAATATGACAAAACTTTGCAAATTTTATGAACAAGATCGCGTACTACAGCGCTACAACCACAGCTACTACTCTACAACGCTAGAGGGCGCTATATGCGGTAATAAAATACCATTCGGCTAAAATAGGCCCCTAGCCCGCCACAAGGTGATACATTAATATCTTAGATAAAATCCTCATAAATCACCGATGATTATCATCATCAGACGTTCATGTACAGCAATAGCTGGCAGATGAGACAGAACACTGCTGCACTGTCCGGAATCGTCGCAGCAGACGGCATCAGCTGCCCGACAAAGTTTCAGCGCAGGTCATAACAGTAGTCCGCAAATGCAGACGTATATGTATATAACTCCGCTATTGCTAATCTGAGGGTGCGGGTTTATCGACGCTTAACGAACACAATATACTTGACTACTTACCAGATAAACGACAACGGCTACTAATTTAAGGTAGGCGACTAGATATGGGCATTTTTTAGAAATGACCCCAATGGATTTTTCTAAACTTATATTGCTTATTCGATGGCCCAGTCACAAGAAACAGAGCATCCGTTTATAGAATTAAAAATTCGCTGTGGCCCTATATGCCCGGCTGCCGCGGCACCGTCTATCGTTTTCCTAAATGCCGGCCAGCTTTTAATTTTTAGCGTTATCTCAAGTAAACAAGGTCGTTAGGCGTTAGGGTCAGGATTAGGGTTAGGCCGTAGGGTCAGGATTAGGGTTAGGGTTAGGCGTCAGGATTTAGGGTTAGGCCGTGAGGGTCACGATTAGCGCGTTTAGGGTTAGGTTACTTCTCCCTAACCGTAACTCTGGACCCTAACCCTAACCCTAATCTAATTCCCTAATCCTGACCCTAACCCTGAACCCTTGTTTACTTGAGATACGCTTAAAAATTAAAAACTGCCGGGCATTTAGCGAAAACGAAGACCAGTGCCGGCCAGCCCGTTTTGATATTGCCGGCTGCCAGGCATATAGCCACTCTGTTAAAAAATTTCACCCCAGTAAAGAGTTACGGGCATTTTCGTGGCGGAATTTTGATGCAGTTTGAGGAATCCTTAAAGGGACAGTAACCTCTAGGATTTTACTGCATACAACTGTACTTACTGTATAACAAATCGTCTATACCCACACGTATTTGTTACCAGATACCAATTTAATCTGTTAATAATTATTTAACACATCACGCTACGAATTGAACGGCGCCCAGACACCCGCGGAACCGTGCTTCCACCTCCCGAAAAGTTCGGCGATATTTGACAATTTATTTTGCAGAGTTACAGCACCGAGCGGCTAATCAAAAAGTGCAATTATTTTATACCTAATGGCCTATTTACCGAACGATATATCATTTTAGGGCAATTTATCCATATTATACTGAAACTATATGTCGTTAATAAGATAATTACAATCTTTTTTGCTTTTAAATGATATAAATAAGAAACACCCTCGGTCTGTAGCCCTTGCGCTAGAAAGCTGGTTTTGCGCAACTTATTCGATCGTGTGTGCTTTGAGTGCGCCGCCCCATCCGTTGAACTCAAACCGTATCGGTTAAGTTTTAAAACATTTTTAATATTTCTAATTGGTGATTGGACCATGAAACCTTTTTATGTAGCGTATGAAACCTAAATTAGCTGAAAATCAACCCTAGAACCTAGAGTAACTCTCCCTTTAAGGTATGGCAAGGTAGGCCTATAGGAGCAAAACGGCACATTTTGAGCACTTACTTAATTTCAGTGACTTAATTAACCATATGTTTTTCGACATTTCTTATTGAATTACCTGATTTTCACACACCGGTAATCATCGGCCCTATGCTCCCTACTAATGGTAAGTAGTAGCGCTAATTTGACCTCGAATGACCTTACCTGGATATCTATGACGTCATCAAATTACCACATCAGGTAAAAATTTATTATAAGCTTATATCTACCCTAATTTTGTTCTCATTTTAGTTTAATCACTGTATTGTTTTTTTTTTACATGAGTTCACATGTATTTATTGCTGTATTATTAATCATACTGTTGATTTTCAGTTTATTTGTTATTATTGCCATGGTAAAAAAACGGTCACCAATCCAACTTGGTTACCGATTGTGATTCAATAGGGCTTCATTTACATTTTACATAAAAATAAATAATTGAAATAAAAATTTAAACCTAATTATGATATGGTATGGTACAAATAAATCAATTATATTCATATCTTTGTATGTATGACCCTTACCTTTGTTTGTTGCAACTAGTAATAATAATTTACATTATTTCGCATTCACGCTTTGAACAATTAGGTTCTTTTTACTTTTTTTTTTTTTTTATGCTGAGGTAGTCCTTGAGCAATACAACAGACACCACTTTTGAGAAGCAGAAAGAGAAATAGTAACATATTTTGAAAATAGACTGAGATTATATTTATATAGTATTGCTGTTACATTTATATTATATTATCAGGAGATATTATGTATAGAATTGGAACCAACTCCCTCTAAGACAGTGCAGATGTATAGGATCCTTTGGGTAAATGTTGTATAGAGTTATAGCTATACCTGCAAACAAAATATGAATTACAACCAATTAACAGCATTTCTCAGCTTTCTGTAAATAAGACTGAGATGAACAGAAGGCTATAATGAAAATGTTTACATATAACACTATGTGATAGTAACATTATTCATGCTGCTTCATGCTGTCTGCAGATTAGGCTAGTTCCCGTTTCAGCTTTCTCTGCAGTTGGCCTTTCATATTACTGACCTTTACTAATAACATAGCCAGTTATTTTTAGACAAGATGAGTAATATTTCCCAACAGTGTAATCAAGTTCACACAATTAAATTTATTTGCGCTAACAAACTATCCAACTAGTTACGCGTCCGGTGCCCTTTCCAAACTATATAGTTAATCAATACACGCGATGTCCTATGTACAGTATTCGCACGGCCAGCTCAGCGCGCGTTAGATACAACCTGGCCGTTATACATGCATATCAAGAGTAGATAATAACACAAGAGTGAGACACCGATTCCCGGCATTCTTTATTTTTCTTTTTTTCTAACAAAATTTTTCTCTCAAATTTGCCACAAACTAAAGTAAGCAAGCTGTATTATTCAAAAAAATAAGTATATATGTATATATATTACATTTCGCATACCTATACACTCGTCCTATATTCAAACCAGGCTTATGCCACCAGACCGCGACACGGGACACTTTCGATGTCTCGCGCGACGAAGTGGATTTAGTATTGAAGACATGGCTGGAGGAAGGAGAGAGAAAACTGCTAGAAACTATCACAATTATTAAATAGAAACTGTTCGCGCTCCACGGCAGCTTTGCTATTCGCATTCCGACCAAAATTATCGCATGTATTGCTCCATTCCCGCCCACTAGAGTGAGTCTGGGCGCCACCTGCTGGTGTTAGGTCACGTGAATGCCACCTGCCGACGCGAGGTAACGTGCTGGCATGAAGTCATGTGGCCCACCCTTGGCCAGCCGTAAGCGTTTGCTCGCCTGGCGCGTCGTCCGCGTGGCGGGGGGCGCGCTTCTGGGAGGAGCGTAGGTATGGGTCGCTGGCGTTCGGGGTGGAGGCCGAGCCGGGGGTGCTGTAGGGGGGCTGGGCTGGTTAATGTGGGCTGTCTGTTTTCGCACAAGCACCACCTTTCCGGCGCTCAAGGTCGCATGGCGCCAACTGCCGGGTGAACCCACGTTCAGTGCCTCACTTGTGTTACAAGGTCTCTCTTCTGAAGCCTTATTCATCTGTGAAGAACGACTCGGCACCTCAGCGCACCACTTAGAACCGTGGAGCCGACCCCTCGGATTGTAGTATCGATCAGGTTCTCAAAAGATTCGTTTGCTCATATCTCGAATGAAGTCGCTCAGCTTCGTGTAAGCGTCCGCTTAGTCAGCTTCCGCTCTATCTGGAACAGGTCTGCAACACATAGCATTCACACGTAAAACACACACACACAGAACAACCACACAGGACAGTCGCCCACTAATCGGGTAGCTCTTTA